CAATTACTCCGAACCCCGACGCCCTGCCAAAAGACGGAACCGCCTCGACTCTCGTTAGGCCTGAAGCTTCTCAAAAAGGGAAGAAATAGCCCTGACGGTTGCTGCCTGAGGTGCAATTGAGCGTGTAAAGACATTAAAGCCTGAACTGCTTGGCATGTGATGAAGTGAGATAGGGCAGAGAGGAAGAGCGGTCTAACCAAATGTCTAAAAAAGATGAGAGGCAGAAAAGGTGAGAAAATAAAACAAGGAGGACATAACCGACCATTCCAGGAAACGTGTGAAGACAGGCGAGGAGGAAACGTCCTAACGCCGGGCCTCGAGTCGTTGCCGCAGAGTGGGGCTCTAATGACTGTCATTACCGACCACTTAGCTGTCATAACCCATAATATCCTGGTCCGTTTTGGTGTGTTTAACACAAAATGTGACCCGGAGCAGCAGTCAGTGTGTCCTGACCCTCAATGCAGGTAAAATGGGTTACAGTTCAAAGGATCTTTTATCTTTTACTGAAGATGGCTCAGACTACGTCTATACTAACACGTTTTTGTTCAGGTTTGAGGTCGCTGGACTTTTGCCCTGTGATGATATTGCTGTTTTAAGCACGACACAAGCCGGCTACTACATGTGCCACTGGGATGTAGGAATGATATTTTAGTTGATCCCAGCTTGATGTAATGTGTCGTGGCCAGTAATCATTAAGCATCTCAGAAGTCTTTGTCATGGTGCTTCTTCATGAGCTAAACCCCCACAATGCTGTCTGCTTGCTTACACGAAACTGCTCACCTCCTCTGGTCGGTACAGTAATAAACACTACGAGGCTCCACCTGGGGGTGCAACCAGGTACTACAACTAAACTTGACATGTGTGCTGATTGGGACAGCCCTAGTTTTCCTTTTAAACCACATAACATTCTCTGCATTTATGCCTAACATTGACACTACTCCAGTGTGTTAGGACCACTACAACAGAGACTTTTGGAAATACTGCTGGCTCCAGTTTAAAAACTCCAGGATTGTGTTTTACTATAGATGCTATCTTACCTGATTCCAGTTTGATTTAACACGTGTAAAGTGACCGGAGGTCGTTAAGCTTTACAAAAGACTCTGCTTGCCAACATTGAACTGTTTGGTTGCTACAGTATTAAACTGCAGGAGGTACTAGCACCAGGCAGTACAGGTAATTTACAATACTTTAGGTGTGTATTATCCAGAAAAATGGTGTTAATGGATAGTAAATGTTAAGTTTTTGCTTATAACTAGGGATGCACCATATATTGGCATCCACATCGGTATTGGTCGATATTAGTGTTTTTCCCATATATCGGTATCGGTGCGATGAACATATTTAGCCGATAATTGTCTAACATTAGCGCCTTTGTCTCTACAGTTGATGTTACGGCTATTATCCAGATGTTTTTACTTACATAGTCCTGGACTTAAATATGTTAAAATATTTTTAAATATGTTTTACTTTTGCTATGTAACAAAGAAGACTATGTGGTCTAATTTGGGCTTCTTCTAAATAGCTTTCACGTTCTCACAGTGCTCAGTTATACTTATTTTTCAGTGTGAACAAATGTTGAATATCAACATTGGTAATATTGGTTATCAGCGATATCAGAAATCGAAAAATAATAATAATATCGGATATCGGTATCGGCCAGAAATTTTAATATCGTGCATCACTACTACTAACGTTTATTATAAGGAATCCATGGATCTTTTTCACTCCTGCTCAACTTTCATTTGAATTGTTTGTCTGTGGACTTGCTTTACTTTCTGTATATACTGGTGGATATTTTTAGAAACACAATAAGAGATTTAATGAAACACTGAAGTAAATGTTTATACACATTAAAGCTGTTCTAACTATTTTAGTGTCTTTCATTGTTTAAATTTTGTTGGGTACCTTTTTTTGGACTCCCATTGAATCATATTACTTTGTCTCAGTGTGATCGTCTCACATGTACATGACTATTTGCAGACACATAACAGCCTTATTAGGCTCTAATAAGCCATATGAAGCTTGTTCTGTTCCCTCCTCGTGGCCAAAAATCCATTTAACGCAGCTTTAAACAGAATCCGATCTGCATTATCATTTAGGATTTATTATGATGTCGAATAAGTGAAAGCAATATGTTTTCATGTAAGACGACTTGGTGGGAACCTTCGCTGTCACACAAACACAGCCGTAACCGACACATGCACACACACTCGTCCACCAAATGAAGGATCGGCTTTCAGTAACCCACTTTAAAGTTGACTGTTGACAGAATGATCATATTTGCCGTCTAGACGGTAGCGACTGAGGAGAAAACCGGGTGGCGTGTCTCCCTTTCTATCTCCTCTTTTATCCGAAGGCTGTTTCTGTCTCTTCTATCCCAACTCTTATAGCGTTTACAAAGCTTGTTCTCTGTCCTCCTTCCCCTTTTTTCTTCCTCAATCCAACCCTCCCTCAAGGCTGAGGAGTAGCTGCCACCTGCGTTTTCGCCTTTTGGAACCGAAACTTCTGAAGAGATTGAGTTTCAAACTTCTAGATTAGCTCCCTGCCTTGCAGTTAAGCATATTTGACAGTTAAACTAAACTAAAAAAAACCAAAAAAGTCACAATTTAAGAACATATTTTGAGGGTCTTAAAACCGCAGCAGATCAAACAAACATGCCTCATTTATGGGAAAACAATGAGCGGGAAAAGCCGATTAGATTTACGAGAAGCCTTTGTGTTTATCTTCACAGTCTTACTCATTCAGCAAAGCCAACATTTCAGACCCACCGTGAATCAGGAACTTCTCAGCCCAATAAACTTACTTAATATCTGTTTATGAATGCTGACATGTCTGAGGCTCTGCAGCACATGCATGCATCACACAGAGCGAATATGGGTTAATTTATAAAGGTATGCTAAACCTGAGCTGTGTCAGAAGTAGCTCGCGCTGCGGCTGCCAGGAAAAACACTTTGCTTCGGAGAGAACAATTCATCTGCGGCCCTCTTGGGGGAATAGGGGGAAAGGGTGCTGGGGAGGTCAGTCCCGCTGCCCACCGGCCGACCCTGGCACAACACAGGCATGAAAGTTAAACGAGAGAAAGCCAATACACTTTCGGAGTCGGAGATCCGCCTCCTGGGTCGCCTGCTAATTAAGCCGCGTTTATCTTGGCCGCGAATCAAGCTTAATATTGAACCTAGATCCAACATAGAACAGCGCCACAGGCACACAGACTGGAACCAGCTGAGTGGTGAAAGGAATCACAAGTGTGGCTCCTGGGAGTCTGTTCTCCTCCGTCTCAGGACATGCTTGCATCATGCATACGGCGAATACCAGTCTCTGCAGCGCCGCTCGGCTTAAGACGTCTTCTTCTTCTCTTCTGCCACTCAATTATGCACTTGAAGCAATAATTGTGGACTTTTATACTCACTTTAACCGCTAATAATTTTCATTCTGACCCTAAATGTCCCATAAAAGTCATCCTGGATACAGACATCTTCATTTCTCCTGCTTTGGCATCAGAGTTTGACGATCATGTTGCGGCTTTCTCTCGTGCTTCTTTATGCAAACTATTGATTTATTTTAACAGAAAAGGTGAAAAGCAATGTTTTGCCACTTCTAAAGCACCTGTGTGTTGCTCCATGAAGAGAAACCGAGGCTCGGATGGCACGAACACAGCGTGTTTGCTTTGAAAATCACTCAAAAATTAGCTGATGCATATTTTTTTTAAAATCACCCAAGGTCAGCGCATCATAAATCACACCGTTACTCGGTTACAATGTGAAATCCAAAGGCTGTAAAGACAGCTGTCTGTGGTTTCTAACTACAGCACTGGAAGCATGTACCCAACTTTTTAAATTCTCCAAATAGAGTTTTTTGTTTAATGGTTTTTCCATTAAGTCTGCCTTTGGGATTAAAAAAAAAACACGTAAAAAGCAAAGACAGGCCAAAAACACTGAGCAATATAAATCATTTAAAGTCACTAGGCAGGGCAACGTTAACATTACAGAGCTTCACTAGAGAAGGCATGTTCATCTGTGATCCGCTCTTAAAACTGAAAGCGACCGCTCCCCGCCGCTCATCTGAAAGGCTATCCAGCACATGTGAATTGTCACATAAGCCCCATGTGATCTCGCTTTAAAGCACGATGGCAAGTTCAAGCTGATATTCTGTTTCAAAAGGAACGTCACTGCGTTTGATTAGTGTTCAAAGTGCGTTGACGGCCGCTGAATATTCAATGTGTCGAGGTCAAAGGGTCACGTGCTGAAGCGTGAAAAGTGGCGCTGGATGGACTTTTTCACCTTTCACCTCACAGAGCAGGTCAGACGTGAACCAGAAGAACCTGAGCACTGTCGGGTCAACGGCATAATGTTCCCGCCGCAAATCGACAAACGCGGCATTAAAATTAAGATAGTTCGTTTTAAAACCTTCGATCGGATTCAACAGATTCCTTTCAAATCGCGCCAGAACCAATTCCATCGCGGAGGAATGATGAGATCGGCGAGCTGCGCATCGACATGTGTGACAACAGCAGCTCAACCGCTCCCTCGGTTAGATAAAACATCTGGGTGAGAGAGTGGCTTAAGAAAACGGCTACGGGCAGGACTCATGTCTCAGAGGCGATGACAGAGTGGGAGTAATGTGATGCAAAAACGGCACCCCACCCTCGGCCATGCAGCGAGCGCTAAGTGTGTGTGTTTGCCCTGTTTCGCATCAGGCTGGGTCAGCCGGCAGTCAGATTACACCTCCTCTCCCAAGGTCCCACAATCATCATTCACTCGCATTCATTACCGAGGTGTAACGCAGATGATTTCTCACTCCTCTGGTGTGGCGCGTTACGTAAACACGCTGCGATAGATTTATTGGCTGATTTAGTTTTATCTGACGTTTCAATTTATTTTGCGTGTAAGTTCTAAAGGGAAGAAAATTGGAGATTTACTTTTTTTTTTTTTTTTTTTAAAAAGCAGCCTGATGGGATTCAGCAACACAGCGAGCGCAGTGTTTTCTGACGGGGAACCTACCGGGTCTTCTGGGTTTTGGCTGCCGTCGTGGAGGGGCTCTTCAGGAAGGTGATCCCGTCGAATCAGAGTGAACTCCCGGATGAACACGGCATCGCCGTCGTTGGCCCACACAGCAACCTGAAAAACAAGGATACAGTCAGAAACGGCCTATAAGTCCAAAAAAATCTGTGGAAGGCAGCTACTGTTAACAGAGGGAGCAAAGACCAGGAACTCTGGTTCAGTTCTTGGATTCAAGAACCTCAGCATACTAAGACCAAGGCACTTGGAACTAAGGTTGTAGCTTCTAGATGGGCTGCTCAATTCAATATCCTCTCATCTGACCAAACTGGTTGGTTGGTAGGCCCTTGGCGATGCAGCAATAGTGGATTGTACCAGCGATGTACGTTTCATCAACCCAGTAGTTCGATAGAATGTTCAACAGTTTCACATAAACGCATCAGATGCCAACTTCTATGAAAAAACAAAGTTCACTTTCATGAGCAAACTCCAAGCATGGTCCTCCTCTGGCTCATAAACAGCCTGTCATACCTTGAATGTGGAGACCCTTCACCCTCCTACACTGTCTAGTGACTGCCATGCAGGTCTTCAAAGGCACACTAGTCTGCCTCCCCTAGTGGAGGTTGCCACCAGGAGGGATTGGCATTTGCCACCTACAACCTAGAACCCTGTGCTACCCACCACTTCCATCTAACAGATGCACTCCTGGCAGCTTCTATGAGGGA